CGCTCACTTTTGCCTCTATTCTCCTTTTCTTTAACCCTTTTGTTGTGGCTAATCTCACTTGTCTGGCTTAATTACAATAAACCCACGTGACAAAGAGTGCGAAGCTGCGTCTGTCGCTGGCATGAGCCTTGGGTACTTTATAGCTGATAGTACGACTTTGCTCTTAATACATATTACCATGTAATACATAAATTACCATTAATACATAAAACCATGTAATCTAACAATTAATCACAAATTATTATCTGCATAATCAGAATATTAGCTTGAAATAAACGGCAAAAATAAATGCGGAAAATGTTCGTATTTCATATCTATCCCTGTTTTCATCCATCTTATTTTTTTATCGTAGCAAGGAGTGCTAGACTACGTTTATAATGGGCACCATACAGATGATAATATGCCTTTGCTCAGTTCTACCCCAATTTTTAAGGAAAATACCTCAGAGGACGGTTCTGAAGCACATCCATCTTCTTCCTCTACCAGCCCATTTGAGTCGCTGTTTAGCAGTTTTGAAATCGGCAATTAAAGCCTCAAAATTTCGCCAAACAGAGAAGCAATTCTAAATCCTAAATAGCCATCTAGTATTAAAACCGTCCAAAATTATTAAAATTTTTACTATCAAGCTGTTCCTTGTGACATTTTAATTGCTTTGCATTTTTAGGGGACTGGTGATACGGTGTGTACAGTTTGTTAGTGAAAGATCTGAAGTAGTTTACTTGTGAGCAAGGCCTAAAGTTTTAATTTGTTATTATTGTTACAAAGTAAAATTTTGAGAATGTGCCATCATACTTTTGCTTTGGCCAAGCATTTTTGCAATCACATTAATTGCAACTGCCAAGAGATTTTTATTCAGAAAATCGTCACTAAACCCAAGTTCTCTTAAATGGGTTATCGGCGACTTGAATTTTCCTTCAACAGTGACATTATTAAGTTCTGTTATATCAAGAAAAAGATTCGTAAGTCATTCATATCTGGAAATGTAGGTTTGCTTAAATAATATGCTAAGACAACTGATTATAGGGGTTTTTTTTAATAAAGAGGGCGATTGTATTATTCCACTCTGCTGTCTCCTTAATGACAGTGCTCTTCATTTCAAACACAGTATGATTCACAAAATTAATGCACGCATTACTGAAATATAAAATACAGCCAATGTTGAAACAATTCACTTCGTGCACATCAATTTATTAATAATACAGGGTGATCAGCGAATAAGCCCTGATTTCAAAATTAAATATCTCTACAACAAAGATCGATAGAATTATGCTGTAAACTGTACGTGTATTAGCAAAACTGTAAAAATGGTGTACAAAAATTTAGAAAATTTAGTTACGAAAATCGTTAACAGATGGCGCTCTAATCGCAATGACCTATCAATAACCTTTAAAAATGTGCTTTGAATTCTAAAAGGATCAGAACGACTACTGGCTAGTGAAAAAAAAAGCCTAGCGTAGAAAGTGAAATAATGTATTCCATTGAACAACGTGTTTTTTTGGTTCTGGAATTTCACCAATTAGAACACAGTCCTACAGCAACACGTCACAGTTTTCAAAACCGATTCAATGTTTCAGTTGGACCCGATGCGAAAATTATTCGCATGCTCTTCGCGAAATTTGAACGGACTGGCAGCGTGGCTGATGATCGAAAGGAAAATGTTGGGCCTAGGCAAACTGTAGTCACTCCTGAAAATGCAGCCAAAGTTTCTGGGATTGTTCAGCAAAGTCCTAGGAAAAGCATCCGACGGATGGCATCAGAGACAGATTTGAAGTATACGAGCACGCAAAAAATATTTAAAAATAGCCTACGGCTGTTTCCATACAAAATCCAAAGTCATCAGGCCATACCCATGAAAGCTGTGCAACAAAGGGTTGACTTTACGAATCAGATTAAAAAAATGGTCAACAACGACAGATTTGATGTGAGCTGCATCTGGTTCACAGATGAGGCACCTTTTCATTTGAATGGAGTCGTTAATAAACAAAACTGGAGATTTTGGGGTACCGAAAATGATCATTTGTGTGAAGAGAAAGCACTGGATTCGCCTAAAGTAACTGCATGGGCTGCGGTATGCGCCAGAGGCGCTATCGGACCATTTTTCGTACGAGAAACGATAACTACTGAACCTTACGTTACAATTTTGGAACAATTTGTCAGCACTCAACTAGCGTTGGAGGATTGACCAGGTATCGACTGGTTCATGCAAGATGAGGCTCGAAAACATCGAACAGATAAAGTTTTTCGCTTTCTTCATGAATACTTTGGAAATAGAGTAATTGCGTTAGATTATCCGCAATTTACTGACATAGGAATAGCGTGGCCTCGATAGTCTCCCGATCTGAGTCCTTGTGACTTCTTTCTGGGGGCGCATTGAAAGACACTGTCTGTCGAAACAATCCCGCTACTCTAGATGAGCTTGAAGCGCTGATTGATGTTGCATGTGATTTCATTTCCGTTGAGACATTGCAAGACGTGATGTCAAATTTCATTGTTCGTTTACGCCACCTCATTGTTTCGAACGGTGAACATTTTGAAAAAATTGTATTTTGATTGCAAAGGCTGCTTCACTTTATTGTTTTTTTTTTTTTACTCTTTTCAGAGAAAGAGTTTTCAGCGCAAAGCGCCATCTGTTAACGATTTTCGTAAATAAATTTTCTAAATTTTTGTACACCATTTTTACAGTTTTGCTTATGAAAGTACAGTTTACCGCATAATTATATCGATCTTTGTTGTAGAGATATTGAATTTTGAAATCAGGGCTTATTCGCTGATCACCCTGTATATTATTTCAGAATACCACACACACATATGTTTAAAATAACTTTTAGCGCAACTTCATGCTCCAATCTGTTGCCACAGAGCTAATTAAGAAGAGAGACCTCGAGACCTAAGTAACATTTCAATGAGGCATAACATTTAAATTACTTAATGCTTTACCACCAGTCCTTCAAGAGGGTTTGAGCAAGCTCATGACATTGGGTTATAAAAGTAAGCGTATAATCATATATAAACAAAACATTAAAATATAATACGAAAGAGTTTGTATATTTTAAAAGGTTGTGGAGACATTAGAGTTTTTCTATGGAATTAGGAGATATGAAAAATGAGCAACGCCTTCGGCGGGAATCTAACCAAGGATCTCTGGAATACGCGCCCAGCGTGCTGATCATTAAATTACGAAGGCGGGAGAAATACCTTATATACTCCCCCTTTTAAAGGGCGACTGGGGTTTTAGAGGACCCAGTCACCTAATCCTGGGTGTGGAGAATCATCATCCACCACCCTTTTAGTTCGGGCGCCACTGTAGAGACATTAAGTATTTTTATGAAAGCAGGAGATATGGAGCAACGCCTTCGCCGGGAATCGAACCACGGACCTCTGGAATACGCGCCCAACGTGCAGACCACCACACTACGAAGGCGGGAGAACTACTTTATAAAGTCTTTGCATAGATTAACAAGAATACCTAAGTAATGGGGATATGTATCTGAAGAGTTTAAAGAAACATTCAAAGTAAAAAAAAATTGTTTAGTTTGAAACTAAAATTTCTGTTACTATAACTTACAGTAGTTAAATTCCAAAAGCTTAGAAAATGACCTGCACAGAAAATCAATTTTCAGTTTTCAGCTCAAGAATTTTCATATTTTAGTGGTAAAAAGTTCAGCTAAGGTTACTAATTTTTCATTTCGCTGGGGTATATAAACGTTCATTTACTCAAATATTGTTCACTAAGAGTAAACTAGGAGTTGAACGATTAGAAATGACTTAAATGACATCTGTTTGTAAAATGTCTTTTTTAACGCATTTGAACAGTAAAATGCAAATTAGGTTATTGAGCAATGCGTAGCTTTCCAATTCTTGTCTTGTCTCAGTCCCTCGCAGATTAGTTCATGCATCGGAATAAAACTGATAATCTGAATGCAAAATTTTAAGGTTATTTGCAAGCATCATTATTCATTTGCAATTCTCCGTGCATAAGAGAACAATAGTATTTTTAACAAAATGTTATTTCAGTTCTCCAACTTAATCTGCTATGGATTTTCTTTTTGTTGCTTCAAGAATGTCTGATGTTTTCAACTTTATTTCTAACTTAATAACTATTTTTCGAAAGCACGCTATCCTGCACTTGATGACAGACATATGACAATGAGCTACAAATATTTTTATTGTGAATTGCTATGCGTGAGTTTTATTGCAACACCTGTAAAGTAGTTTCCTCTTATTTCTGATTGTGTTTCTTTTCAAATGTACATTGCTCTTTCTGTTGGTTGCGGAAGTCACTGCATTGCATAGGAATTACGGTTGAATGATATTAAGGCTAATCTCATGCCATATTTTGCAGGAACAAGCTAGGTAATTCCGATTCATAATGAACGTAAAAATAATCGAAATATATCCATTATTCAGTGACAAACGTTTGCTACTGAACTGAAACAATAAACAAAAGTGTTCATATGTAATTAATTAGCGTTACGAATCAAGGTAGTTATTAACCACTGAATCAATAAAGAGTATGCTCTTTTCATAATTCTATCAAAAATAATGTCTAAAAGTTTTGTCTGCATATCAATAACTATATTTAAATTTAAAATGATTCTATCTATTGAACTGTACATAGCACAAACAAGTAGCTTATAGCCGCAAGCCAACTGAAAAAGAAAATACAAATAACTAAGATGACAACAAGTGGTTTCAAATGAGTTTAGTTTTCTGTATGACTGACCATTTCAGGAAATTGATATTCAAAGCGACCACTTTGAGACGAAATCATAACGATAAAGCTCACTGTCAACTGAATTTTACATTTTTAAATTTCTGGCTGTTCCAAGTGTATGCCTTACAAAGTATTAAATTCTGGTAAATATAATAAAAATGCTTAATGAAAGCAATCTGAATTTTATCCAAGCTACAGTAATCATCATTATGCAACGTTTGGCTAAATTAATCAATTAATAAGCAGAAAAAAGACTTAAAAATAAATGAAATAAAAAGGTACTCACGGTTTCTCTATCGCACTGACACTGGTATCCCTGATGAATGTAAATACCGAGCAAAACCATGATGCCCACAATGGTAGTTATTGCCAGAAGCGTCAAAGACAAGATGCGGGCTATTTTTAATTTTGTTGAAACTGGCTTGTCATAGGCCTTAAAGAAGTAAAGAAAAATACACACAATTAATTGATCTTTATTTAATTAGCTTAGCATTAATTAGTAAATGCAACATTAACGAAATATATATATATTTGACTTTAAATCAGAGATTCTCAATTTCTTTTGTCCTACGCATCCCTTCAACCATTGCTAGAAGATCATCCCGTCCCTTCCTTTCCGAAATTTGAAAAATACATATATACAGTTATTTAGATTATTTTTAACATGTTTTGTAAATTAGCAACGATAAATACAACAAATTTTGATAAATACCAAAACTTGAATGAAAGTATTTTTTTTTATATTCATAAACTAAAATTAAATACTGAACAGTTAAAAAAAAGGCTAACATTCCCCCCCCCCAGAGGGGAAATTACAATTGAGAACCGATGCTTTATATAGCACATAAACTCATTCCTCATTATTTGAGCTCGTGTGCTACATAAAATAAACGAAAATTCAGGTAAAATAGAAGGTTGTAACCATTTTCAATAAAATTTTATCCGTATAAATAAATTCACTGATTTAAAATTTATATCATCCTGTTTTAAATTTGATTTCATCCACCCGTTCGGCAATAAAAAGTAAGGAAAGAAATTAATTGCGCAAACACTTTTTCTTTTTAAAGTGCTTGATTTAGACGATTATAGAACATAGTCTGATCCATTTATTGTGTTTTATAATAACTGTATGTATACGCTCGTCATACACTTATGCCGCCATCTCACACAAAATGCAGTTAACTCTTTCTCGAGGGTCACTGTAGCAAAGCACACAAGCCACACAAGAATTATAGATTTAGTGAAAAGATAGTAAGCGCTGAGGGCTTGGATGTTCACAAACTTTTCACCGAAATCCGCATCCACACAAATACCAAAGCATTAACACTGAGCTGAAATTGTTACCGAAAAATTTGGCATACCCACAAACCTACTGAAGAAACTTTTTGTGGGTGTTTCAATTTACGGCCACACATTACCGTGAAGGATAGCTCTCTTATTTTATTATTTTTTTTAACCTAAGGGACTATTGTTTTCGTTTTGCGATTTTGAGTCGAATCACTCTGAAAGTACATTTCACTTTTCAAACTGTTGCCACCAAATATTATCGCCCTGTATTATATTTGAAGAAATTAAATAATGAAGAATCTGCATAAATGTATGTATGTTTCTGGCATTCTGATAAAACAACGGTACCTAGAGCCATCCAGTTTTGAATACCGTAATCTTCCACCGAATATGGGTATCTGGAAGCGCAAATTTGAAATTTGGAATTTGTTTTACGATCGATTTCATATTTTGTAAACTTTAACTAATTTTTGTTTAACAAACTCAAGGATTTCAAAATGAGCAAGGGCAACGTTGTATAGAAAAAAAACTTTTTATCTCCAGCGCGCAGAACTGTGTATCGGAAATTCTAAAGATATGCTCATTTTAAAATTATTTTGCGACATTGCTATTGAACTGAATTTTGTGTCTTAAGTGCAAAGAACGTGATATTTAATAAATAACGGTAACACATAAAACGTTAAACAAACGCCCCTTTGGATGTAATTTAAAATCTGAAATCTTTCAGTTTTTCTATTTTTTTATTTTTATTTTAAAGAAAGCTTTTTGGTGACAATGAAATGACAATGAAGAATTTCAGCAAACAGTAACTGCATTTCTCAGCAGACTGGAAAGGCGGAAATGTGTACGGGGATTAATAGAAGCCAGTCTTCCAGTATAAAAAGTACCTCAGTGCCATAAATGTCGACATAAGAGCCCAAAGTTGAATTTTAAAATAAAAAGTTTTATTCAACTAACTCATTTGGTTCTTTCCTTATTACCAATGAGAAGTACCTTTCTGGACGTGTCTAGTATATATTAATTTTAATATCATTTTTAATTCTCTGATTTATACGGTATACTAACATTCTTAAATCTTTAAGTACCATTGCATACCTTAATAAATTTAATGCTATACAAACGGTTTATTGCGAAACTCTATCATTTATCACACAGCTATTATACGAGACAGATTTTAAAATTAGTGTGTGCGCAATTTTTATACATCATTGTAAACGGTTCGTGGTATGTTATATGCAAAAACGCTGTTTAGAAGATAATTACACTTTTGAAATATAAGCAGAAAGTATGTGATGAAGATGGCAATCTTTTCCAATTGACAGAACACTTAATACAATAACGAAAGAATTTTAGATTTTATATTATGATGTTGATGAAGAAACTTTATTAACATTCACCTTTTAATTTCAGGTCCATATCTAGTATTTTTCTGAGAATTTGTAAAGGTACTTTTTTTGATAAACATATCAAACACGCACATCATCTCAAAGAAGTAATATTTGGTTTCTCCACATAGGTTTTGTTATTTCAGTTGCAGAAACTACTGATCAGCATTAGAATGTCTTTGGAAATCGGAGAAACAAATTCAAAAATGTATTGAAATTGAAAAATAGCGTGACACACTCTTAGGGATTTCAGCAGGGGCGTAGCTAGAGGGGGGCAAGGGGGGCATTTGTCCCCGGGTGCAGAATCCAAGGGACGCCAAACTGATGTTACGACATTTTAGAATTAAATGTTTTCCATCCTTGGCAAGCAGTAGGGGTCATTTATCCCTGGACGCTGAAAACCCTAGCTACGACTTTGGATTTCAGGACATACTTGTATGTAGAGATATAATGCTTTAGGAAACATTGTAGCACGCGCGGGATACCTTTTCTGTGGAATTTGTGTGCTTGCGAATGGTTTTATGAATTATTATAAAACTTCGTTAAATTTTAAAATAAAATAGAGTTAGTTACTTATGAATGCAATATTATTCATGAAACAGTACGATGGATGTTACTCATAAGTTATAAGGAAAAAATTTCTGGTTTTCACAAGATGAACATACACATTTCCAGTTTTAAAAAGCTACAACTTTCAAAGTTATTCATACATAATTTTAAGATTCATTTTTAATGCCATAAGAATAATGTTAGGAAAATTTTGGAGTCATTTCTTTTTAATATTTGAGAAATCATTTAATGGTATGGTTTTAAATTATTAGTGAGGAGAGGGAAATTGGAGCACAGTGAATTTGACAGCATTTTATTAGAAGCTTAAACATATGGGGATATAAATATTGGAAAAATATTAAATAACCTTTTATTATATTTTATAAAAATCTTTCAAAATATTGATAAGAAATAGTAAGAAAATGACTATTAAACAATTAATTTTTATATGAGACATATGAAATAAAATTCAGAAAATTAAGTTCTATTCCGTTATGACATTTTTTTTCCTTTAAAGATAACTTTTAAAGAAAATAATCCATTTTTCACCTTCTTCTTGTACCAATTAAATTTCTTTGACGTTTGAAAAAAGTATACAATAAAATCGGATGTAATGTAAATATCTATATAATCTCCCTTTCTCTCTCTCTCTCTATATATATACATACATGTATATTTACTCTGTAAGACTTCCTGGCGTATTTTCGTGTGAAGATACTTCGGTTAGGATACATTATATCATGTATGTGAAACTTTTGTGAGTTTATTGTGTGCCTAACAAAGGTTCAAGAATTATGAAAAAATAATGAACTGAATATTTGCAGTATTTTTCCTATTATTATACTTCTTTTAAGCAGCATAATTTTTTTAAATAAAAGGCTAAATTATATAACGTACAAGAAAATTTTAAACATTAAGTGGCTATATGACTAATAAAAACGAGAAATTTTGAATGAGATTTGTGATAGCAAATTTTTGAACGATTACAGATCTGTTAAATTAAAAATAGAATTCTTAAAACCATTTTCCATTATCTGTTAGAAAGGAAAATTTGCCAGATAATAATAAAATTTACAAAGATGAGTAGTGCGTGTTCGATCTGTTTTACAAAACTTTTCCCATAGTTTCTTTACAAATTTTGTAAATAAAATTAAAGCATTAGGCTTACCGGTGGCAAGCTGACTATACTGTTTGAATCATTTCTGTAATCCACATTCGAACTTTCGTCAACCGCAACTTTTGTTTTCTCCATCATGTCCGAGTGAATAGTTCAGCTTACCTAACGATACTGAATTCTTCTGAAGCTGAAGAAGGAAAGCAGAGCTACAGCTCGGCACAACTCGCTTCTAAGCGGGACGAGTTCGTGAATATGGGACATACACGAAGCGCACCAGTCAAAGACCTCTCCATAGAATATTGCACTTTTTTATTGTATATTTATTTCTACCATTTTGCAACTGGCTTCTTTTTCTTTTTTCCTCCTACAGGATGACTGAGGTGGAACGGCGAGGCTCTCACACACCCGCTTTGGGGTCACGTGACGTTTTTTGCCGTTTAAAAAAAGAAGTTATATTTTTCTTTTCCTTTATGAAGTTAGAACTTAAAAATGTGTCATTTCTTATTGCAGCGCCTAGTGGTTACAGGTGGTTGACGTTTTTTAACTGGAGTTCAATCACCTGATAACTACAGAAAAACTGTCGGCATTTCCATATTTTGCAACTGGGGCTTATCGATTATCAAAGAAGACAGGATTAGTAGATGAAGGAAAAGAAACCAAGTTAGTTTTGGCCAGTGGAAATGATGCAATCAAATAATTCTTTTCCGTAAACAAAGAGAAAAACGTTCACGTTTCTTTTAAATTTACGGAGCCCTTTCACATTTACTCAGCAGTTGCACAATGAAACCGTTTCTCTGTATTAAACAGTTATCATTTGCAATGATAGTTTCGCTTTCAAACAATGACTCGGATTATTTGAGCATACGTTTATAAAAGTTTGGTTTCTATTAAGAAACTTTAAAATCTCATTTACAATCAAATTGTAATAAATCGAAACCAGAAGAATCCAAGAAAAATTTCAATTTACTTTTCACAGGCTATTAAAAAAATTAATAACCCAATCAAACGAGCAAATCTGTAACATATATTTTGGCAGATATAAAGATCCTTACTATTTCATAATATAGTTTAGTGAATGACTTACAATAACTGCTTGACAGAAGTAGTTCTCCTCAGATTTTTCCAGTAACACCAGAAGATTCGGATGCAGTCTGTTCTTTGCTTTCGTCTCTACTGAGGGTACGAGAATCAATATCCTCTCCATAACAGCATTCTTAATGGAGTATTTCAATAACTGTTTGTTAAAAGTACACTTTGTGGTCTGCTTCTATGATTATGAATCATATTTAAATCTTTGGAGGTTAGAGACAAGGCGTATTCTGTTTTTTTTTTTTTTTTTTTTTTTTTTTTTTATGTTATTAATGCTACAAAGGAAAGCATTTTTAGGGATGAAAAACTTATTAGAGTAAAGTTCTGTTATCTGAAATTTATCTGACATGGCAAAGTACAGAGAGCTATCTCCTTAAGAGGATGGATGTCTTTGTGGATTACTTTCTATGGAAAGTTGGCTTGCATTAAAGTTACAGTGAGAAAGCTACAAAATTAAAACACGCAGTTAGCATATTTGTCTGACTTCTAACCCGATTTGAGTTACCAGTATGCAGCGGTGTTAGCCAATGGCTACTGGTGGGAGACCAAGTTATAAAAGCTTCCGTTTGATGGTAAAACTATTTTATCAATTAACTCAAAGTAATTTTATGAGAGAAGATTGTAAAACTTGCAAACGATATTCCCATAATTATTTTTTAAGCTGAACCCCTCCCCAATATTTATAAGAGTTTTGCTAAAAAATATCAGTTTTTCTAATCCTGGCTGCTGAATTTTAGTTCCGACTGCCGCAGACAGGTACTTTAATGCAATCGATAGCCTGTAGCTAGTTTTTAATAGTCGATTTTATGATTAGGATTTAATGACTTGTGTTTAGAGAGTGAATCACACTAGATGAACATTTAAAGAGAGAATATCATGAATTTCATATGTGACGATAAGGTGTATATTTCACACTGCGGCCATTTAAGTGTAATTGGACGCTTGAATTCTTATTTACTTTCTAACTGATTAAAAAAAATTATTTAAAAAAAATTTAAAAACAAACTTTATGTATATAACTGTAACCATATCTGTATGTTAATTAGTGGTTAAGATACAGATATGGTTACAGTTATATACATAAACTAATACTTACTAGAGTCGCTGATATTCGCATGCAGACGCATATATTCTTTTAATTTGTTCTTGTAAAATATAACAGTTAGGTAATCTAAAACTCACCTAAAGATGGCTCTCGTGCTCCTCTTCATTTGGCGAAGCAATTAGAATATCATTCAAATAGGGTATACAAAAATTTAGGCCACCTAACACCTGATGTACGTAACTCTGACAAGTCTACCCTGCGCTACGGAGGCCAAATGGCGTAAACAAAAATTCAAACGACTGGGGTTGTTACAGCAGTTTTTTTTTTTTTTTTTTTTTTTTCAAATTCAGTTGGATTAACAGTGATTTGGTGATAAATCCAATGTTGTAAATATGCTTTTCCATAAAATGCTTGGGTACAGTCCTGGATAGGGTTTAGGACTTTTCGCCGTCGGGACGTTTCGTCGTCAAGACATATTTTCTTTACATGAATGTATTATATCTTGCCGTTATTTAGTTTAATAATTCTGTTTACCCTTTGTATACTTAATAAAGTTTGCATAATGAGTAGCATAGCAATTAGACATTGTTAGTTGGAAAGTTATGTCAGCATCTAAGAGAACTGGGGCTAAACCTCTGATATAGCAGTTATATTATCGATTTTAAAATTATTTGGGTGTAATATTTACATGTTTCGTCAAAATTTCTTGAAATTGTAATCAGCTAGTTCAGAGAAATCACTCATACAAGCAGGAAATTCACATTTTTATGAAATCTAAATGGGGAAACGGAATTACTTTGGAATCTTGTTACAACATTACTCTCTTAAAATTAATATAATATTTGTGTAACGATGTATTTGCATAAAATTTTACACAAAAACATCTTATACATTAATTTTATAAAATGTTTATTAAATAAAATTATTAAACCAAGCATAATTATTAAACTAAATCAACTTAATATAATACGGGCAAGATATAATACAGTCGTGTAAAGAAAAATATGTCTTGGTGGCGAAACGTCCTGACGACGAAACGGTAACATCGGAACGGCGACGGCGAATAGTCCCATTCCCCCCCTGGGAGGGGATAAAGGACCGGAACTGTGATGTCATTCAAGCGAAGATAATCTCCGCAGAGGCGTAATGCGCCATTTGTTTTTTAACCGTATGAAGGGGGCTTGCCCAAGCACTCTTTGATGGACCACAATACCCTGGGACAAGAGAAACTCAAATTCCTGGCGAGCAGCCATGAGGAACTCAGGTGATAACCGACGCGGCTTAGAAAATACTGAAGGCCCCTTAGCCTCAATTTGATGTACGATTTTGTGATTCGGTCGCTCTTTGGGGATATGTAAAGGATTAGTAAGTTCTAAATATTTTGTCAAAATGTTATGAAACTTGGAAGGACTTACTGGAACAGCAGTAATTCGCTTAGTAAAATAAATCACTAGTCCTCTTCATAACATAATAACTTTTATATTTTACAAAAACAACTTACACGAATACATGCGTATGCACGCGGGTATCAGCGAGTCAATACCACTAAGCCACAGATACGGTTAGAGTTAGACAAAGTTTCTTTTTTAGTTAAATTTGCAGTTAGGAAGTAAATAAGAGTCCAGTTACGGTTTCAACTTTTTGTTGTTTACATAAACTGCTTGACTTTAAACTGCTTGAAAGAAGTTGATTCAGAAATATAAATAAATACAATGTAATTATTTGGAAGTCACGTTATTTTAACACACCAGTTAAGTCCGCCTTCAGAATAATTATCAAGTCTTCAGAGTAATTATTAAAAAAAAGTGCTGACGCCCAACAACAAATCCTTTTGAGATTAGTCTTTAAAATAAGCTATGTATAGATGATTGGACTAGGAGATCTGATTTAATCTCAGCTCACAAATGCTTTCTGCCAAAGCTGCATCCCACATTTTGACCAAAGAGCCTTCGAGAAATGACCGACTGTTTTACAATCCCACAAGGATAGGCCCACGCAGATTGTGAGATCTGTTTATTTGAACCTCTATATCAGGGCTCTTCAACCAGAAGAGAAATTTCATATTTTCAAGGGGGAGCATGGTCAAACTAGCTCTATCCTTCCGTAGTACCACCATCATGTGGTACCTCTACCCGTAGTACCTCTATCCTGTGGTACCTCTATCTTACCGTATTTAGCTGTTCAGTATTTAATTTAATTTATGAATATAAAAAAGCTACTTTTATTCGAGTTTCCGTATTTTTCAATTTTTCTATACTTTCAGTTGTTAAACTAGTAAAAGAAGTTAAAAATAAACTAAATCTAAGAAAATTTGTAAAACAAATGTATTTTTCAGGTTTTGGAAAAGAGAAGTGAATGAACTTCTAGCACTGAAAGGGGTGTTTGGTGCCAAAAAAAGGTTGAAAACCCCTGCTATTGATGGAAAATTCAGTTTTCTTTATTAAAATGATGTGAATTTAAAATCCTAATGAAAGAAATAATTAATCAAGTTTTCGTCATAATATTTAAGCATATATTAACAACATACTACAAATAGATATTTAAAGATAACTTGTTAACTTTTGCCAAATTCGTTTTCATTATTTATGATAAAACATTAACGAAACCAGAGTTTGAAATTTCATATTCAAGCCTAAATTAAATTACATATGAAAGTTTATATACAAAATAAAATATGAATTTATTCACTATTTTTAAATTTAACTGAAAAGTAAATATTTAAGTTATGTATAAATGTACTATTTTTTCATTTTACGAGAATAATTCACTGAATTGGAAATAAAAATCTTGTAAATTGATCAAATTACACAGAAATAACAACGTTTATCGTTGATGTAATTTTACAATTATTATAGGTGACTTTGCTAGTACGAGTACAGAACACTGTTTTTCTTATATAAAAGCTCATCCGCGCAAGTGTTATCTACATAAGATTTCTCATGGAGGTAGTTTACTTGCAATCGAAGCTAAGCTTCTTCGTGCTGATTAGCAGAAGGTCGCTACTGCAGTTGAGATTGTAATGCTAAGATACTACTGAAATATCGTCAAAGAAACGAACTCGTATAAAACAAAAATGAGAAATATTTTTAAGAATACTCAAAATAAATTAAATGCTTTATA